TGGTACTCAATGCAGAGTCCCTTTGAGGGCATGGAACGGAAATAGTGCCAAAGTGGACAAGACTAGAAATGCCAAGTTTGGGAGCCAACGGTGAAACATTCTGTGAAAATGATGCTTTCGTAGGTCTTGTACAACCCATAAACCTCATCTATGTAGCAATGTTCAATCTGCATAAAGAGGCATTACATGTTTTCTAGGCATTACAAGATGGCTTTACACCAGGCATGGGCAAATCAACATCTGTTATAGAACTCCAATATGCTGATGATAACGTAGTCTGTGCTCATTCAGAAGAAGACCTACAAGCCACTCTAAACACCTTTGCAGAAGAATACGAGAAGCTCGGCCTGACATTGAACATTGAGAAAACCAAAGTGCTCTTCCAACAGTCACCAGCCAATCCCTCTCCAATGCCAAAATACAGCTTAATGGTGTAACATAATAAAATATTGATCACTTCCGCTACCTTGGCAGCCACCTCTCCACAAAAGTCAATATTGACACTGAAATACATCCAATGAGCCTGCCTTCAGGCAGCAGGTATCCAACAAAATAACCATTCCTAGGTTATGGCCTTCCAGATGTGTTTGACTACAACACCACAACTACATAAAAGTCAACATTGACACTGAAATACAACACCGCCTGAGCTCTGCAAGTGCAGCATTTTTCCAAATGATGCAGAGAGTGTTTGAGGACCGGGACATCCGTAGGGATACCAAGGTGCTTGTTTATAAAGCTATTGTCCTCCCAATCCTGCTATATGCCTGCCAAACGTGGACTGTCTACAGACGTCACATGCAACTCCTGGAACGATTCCATCAGCGCCTCCGAAAAATCCTGCAAATCTCTTGGGAAGACAAGGGACAAATGTCAGCGTGCTGGAAGAAGCAAAGACCACCAGCACTGAAGTGATGGTCCTCCACCATCAACTCCGCTGGACTGGCCACATTGTCCGGATGCTCAACCACTGTCTCCCAAAGCAGTTTCTCTACTCTGAACTCAAGAACGGAAAACAGAATGTTGGTGGACAGGAAAAGAGATTGAAAGATGGGCTCAAAGCCAACCTTAAAAACTCTGGCATAGACACTGAGAACTGGGAAGCCCTGGCCCTTGAGCGCTCCAGCTGGAGGTCAGCTGAGACCAGCAGTGCTGTAGAATTTGAAGAGGCACAAATGGAGGGCGAAAGAGAGAAACGTGCCAAGGGGAAGGCGTGTCAAGCCAACTGCGACTGGGACCGCCTTCTGTCTGGAAATCCATACCCTCATTGCGGGAGAACATGCAGGTCAAGAATAGAGCTCCATAGTCACCTACGGACCCACCAGTACACTGATCTTGGAAGACTATCCTACTCGAACAATGAGGGATCGCCTAAGTAAAGTAAGTAAAAGGCAAATTTCAGCCCTCTATGTGTTTTGGACTCTAACTCCCACCATTCCTAACAGCCTCAGGCCCTTTCCTTTCCCCAGTTTAAGCGGCTGAGGGGGAAAAGGAAGGGGCCTGAGGCTGTTAGGAATGGTGGGAGTTGGAGTCCAAAACACACAGAGGGCTGAAGTTTGCCCATGCCTGCTTCACATCCTTTTTGGTCTTCTAGCAAGGCAGATGCATGCTTCCTTCTACAGGTGAGCAGGTACGAAGAGGAAAAATACTAGGCAGAGCAACTGAAAACGTAAGATAAACCACTCGAGATGGATCATGCCAAAGCTGGTATCTCTGCTAGCATTCGTGGCACACTCCAGAGCATGTTAAAATCTATTAAACTTGGAAGAAGAAATTGAAACAGACCCAAGTACTATGTTGCAAAAGCTTCAGGTTGTCATTCTCTTTGGTTCATTCATTCATACAGCCATTCCTGGTCCAACCGAAACGGAGACTTCTTCCCATGCACTCCTCTTTATATATATATAGATATATATCAAAATATCCCCATGCTTTCAACTTTTTTTTCAATATAATACATATTGTGTGTGTGTGTTTCCTTTTAAGAAAGTCTCCCGTTAGGAAAAACAAAAGGCAGGCGTATCAAAATATGGCGACGGTATATGGCTGTGAATATAAAACCTCTCAAAAATATAGGTATATATTGTATATTTTAAAAAGGCTTTGTGCTGTTAAGATTTCTTTTGTAAACATCCCCCGCCCCGGCCCCCAAAATGCAATGGCTTGGAATTGTTGTTGTTGTTGTTGCTGCTGTTGTTGGAAGTAGTTTGGAAAGCAAGAATAGTTCCTTACAGGACACAATCCTTGCTCATTGGGAAAAAGAAAGAAGTCAGGGAAGAGCAAAAACTGCACCTCTCCTTGACAGGTAAATTTCAAGGTCTACTAGTTTCAATTGCCCAATGTGACCTTTTGAGTACGCCCAAATTTGAATACTGGTGGGGTTGGGATTGATTTTGTCATTTGGGAGTTGTAGTCACTGGGATTTATAGTTCACCTACAATCAAAGAGCATTCTGAACTCCACCAAGGATGGAATTTAACCAAGCTCGGCACACAGAACTCCCATGGGCAGCAGAAAATCCTGGAAAGGTTTGGTGGGTATTGACCTTGAGTTTGGAAGTTGTAGTTCACCTACATCCAGAAAGCCCTGTGGACTCAAAAAATGATGAATTTTGACCAAATTTATAGTTCACTTAATGTCAAAGAGCATTCTGAACTCCACCAACAATGGAATTGAACCAAAGTTGGCACACAGTTCTCCCATGACCAACAGAAAATACTGGAAAGGTTTGGTGGGCATTGAGTTTTGGAGTTGTAGTTCACTTACATCTGGAGAGCACTGTGGATTCCATGGATCTGGACCAAACTTGGCACAAATCCTCAATATGCCCAAATGTATTTTAGCCAGTGGCTGAACTCTGGTGCCAGTTGAGTTCCCACAAGTTGGAGGAAGCTGAGTGGTACATTCCTAAACACGTTCCCTTCCAGATGGGAGGTGAAGCTGCTTCTACATAAAGCTGGTGGAATGGGAGTGTTCTACTCTCACGTAGGTGCAACGTTTTCCCTTTCTTTCATCCATATCAGCCACAAACGGGTTGGGGAGCCAGAAGCACAGCTCAGCTCCGCGCATGGAGAGATGCGTATAGAATTCCCCAAAACAATCCCTTGCTAGGGCCCCTTTTATGAAGTTTTCTCATTCTTTAGCAGTGTTTCTCAACCTTCCTAATGCCGTGACCCCTTAATACAGTTCCTCATGTTGTGGTGACCCCCAACCATAACATTATTTTCATTGCTACTTCATAAATGTCATTTTGCTAATGGTATGAATCATAATGTAAATATCTGATATGCAGTATGCATTTTCGTTCACTGGACCAAATTGGGCACAAATACCTGATACACCCAAATTTGAATATGGTGGGGTTGGAGGGGGGAGGGGTTGACTTTGTTATTTGGGAGTTGTAGTTGCTGGGATTTATATCCCACCTACAATCAAAGAGCATTCTGAACTCCACCAACAATGGAATTGAACCAATCTGGGCACATAGAAAATGCTGGAAGGGTTTGGTGGGCATTGACCTTGAGTTTTGGAGTTGCATTTCATCAACATCCAGAGAGCACTGTGGACTCAAACAATGATGGATCTAGACCAAACTTGGCACAAATACCCAATATGCCCAAATGTGAACACTGCTGGAGTTTGGGGAAAATAGACTTTGACATTTGGGAGTTGTAGTTGCTGGGATTTATAGTTCACCTACAATCAAAGAGCATTCTGAACTCCACCCAAGATGGAATTGAACCAAACTTGGCACACAGCACTCCTATGATCAGTAGACAATCACTGGACGAAATTTGGCACAAATACCAGATGCGCCCAAATTTGAATACTGATGAGGTTGGGGGAGGGGGATTGATTTTGTCATTCGAGAGTTGTAGTTCCTACAATCAAAGAGCATTCTGAACTGCCAATGGAATCGAACCAAACTTGGCACACAGAACTCTCATGACCAACAGAAAATACTGGAAGGGTTTGGAGGGCATTGACCTTGAGTTTGGGAGTTGTAGTTCACCTACATCCAATGATGGATCTGGACCAAACTTGGCACAAATCAATATGCCTAAATGTGAACACTGGTGGAGTTTGGAGAAAATAGACTTGACATTTGGCAGTTGTAGTTGCTGGGATTTATAGTTCACCTACAATCAAAGAGCATTCTGAACTCCACCAAGGATGGAATTGAACCAAACTTGGCACACAGAACTCCCATGTCCAACAGAAAATACAGGAAGGGTTTGGGCATTGACCTTGAGTTTTGGAGTTGTAGTTCACCTACATCTAGAGAGCACTGTGGACTCAAACAAAGATGGATCTGGACCAAACTTGGTGCCCAAATGTGCCCAAATGGGCCAAACTTCCCACAGTGCTTTCTAGATGCAGGTGAACTACAACTCCAAAACTCAAAGTCAATGCCCGCCAAACCCTTTCAGTATTTTCTGTTGGTCATGGGAGTTCTGTGTGCCAAGATTGGTTCAATTCCATCATTGGTGGAGTTCAGAATGCTCTTTGGTTGTAGAGAACTATAAATCCCAGTAACTACAACTCCCAAATGCAAGGTCTATTTTCCTCAAACTCCACCAGTGTTCCCATTTGGGCATATTGGGTAGTTGTGCCAAGTTTGGTCCCAGGACCAACAGAAAATACTGTGTTTTCTGATGGTCTTTGGTGACCCTTCTGACGCCCCCTTGCAACCCCCCCAATGGGGTCCCGACCCCCAGGTTGAGAAACACTGGTCTTTAGGGAAGAAAATAGAGATATTTGCAATTACTTAGGGATGACCCAATTTGGAACAGAATTTGAGATACAAGGGGAGCCATAATGAACAGTGCAAAAAATGCCTCACTGTCAACTATGAAAAGGGGGGCATTTTGCCACGTTCGCACTTGGGCGATTGTCTTAATTCCATCCTGTGAAAGAAACAGAGGCATGAGTTAACTTTTTTCCTAGCAAAAAAAAAAAAGGCATTTTAAACAGAAGAAAAACATAAAATGGGTCCATAATTTCAAACATAAAGATATATTCCTCTCTATAGACTTATATACGTATTTTTTTATATTCTTTGTCTCTAACTTAAGGTACTTTGGTCAGCAAATCTTATTGCTACATCCTCACAGATTATTTGTCCTTTCAGGCACCCCATGAGAAACCGGGAAAAGCTTCCAGAAGCTTTCCAAAATGCAATTTTTTGAGCAACCCATCACTGTCGTCTCTTCTCTACTTTTTGTAAACTTTTACAAACCCTAGAGAGAAAAAAACTCCCACATGATGGATATTATCATAACCTGCTGTCATCCCTGAAAAGTCTTTTCAACGCACATAGATTCCTCCTTTTGGTTCCTTATTGCCGGCATCCACTCGGGATATGTGCATTTCTTTGGCTTGATATGGAAATAAAATAATAATCAAAGAGAAGAAACAGAACCGTGTCCTTACTTTGGAGTCTCTGTACCATGACGGCGCAAACAAAACGAAATTGCAAAAAGTTGATGCGTGAAGTCTGTGGCATGGAAGACTTTCAGGAGTTTCCACATGGCAAAGGACAAGGAAAGGAAACCAAAAAACCAAACCATCCCTTTTACTTTTTGCAGAAAGAAGAGGAAATTTAAAAAAAATCCTCAGGGTGGGATGCATCCAAAAGAAGACAGACACCGTGCCTCCCAAATTCGACCGATTTAAACGTCGATCAAATCCCGCCACAAATTCCAACTTTGTAATTAGTGCAACAGTTCACAAGGCCTTGGTTTTTTTTGTTTTTTGTTTAAGTATCGGAGGAAAAATATCGAAAGAAGGGGAAAAAAAATCCCTGCATGGCACCAAAAAAGACCCAAATAGTTGGTGGAAGCATTGGCACCTGGTTGAGTTGGTTGTTGTCTCTCTCGCGCAAACCCAGCTGCGTCAGACGACGAACTCCGGGACGTCTTCGTGGGAAAGGTCCAGCGAGAAGTACTTGCTGGCCCTCTTGACGGGGAAAGTGTCCTGGATGTTGACGCACTGCCGCGCCAGGCAGCCGTTGCAGTAGAGCCCTTCCTCGGCCAGTGCGTGGCCGCAGCCAAAGGTGTAGCTCTGGGCTGTCTCCTGGCACAGGCTGGCCAGGCGCAGGAAGTCCTTCTGGTAGAGACGGATGTCGTCCAGGCTCAGGCTGTGGCGGTCCGAGGAGCCCTTCGGCTTCCGGCAGGCCGTCTGTGAGGGAGGAAGGGAGGGAAGGGCATTTGTTTATCTGTCCATCCATCTTTGTTTCAGATAGCTGTATTACTCTCACCATCTATATCAGGCATGGGCAAACTTGGTCCCTCCAGGTGTTTTGGACTCCAACTCCCACAATTCCTAACAGCCGGTAGGCTGTTAGGAACTGTGGGAGTTGAAGTCCAAATCACCTGGAGGGACCAAGTTTGCTCGTGCCTATGCTAAAGAGATGCCAGAAATGCAAAAAAATTAATAACGTTGGTATGTATATTCACATTTTTATATACAAAAAACAGCCTCGTAGCTGTTAGGAATTGTGGGAGTTGAAGTCCAAAACACCTGGAGGGCCCAAGTTTGCCCATGCCTGTGCTAAAGAGTTGCCAGAAATGCAAAATAATAATACTAATAATGTTGGTATATAATATATTCACATTTATATATATAAAAATACAGCCTGTCAGGAATTGTGGGAGTTGTGGCTGTCAGGAATTGTGGGAGTTGAAGTCCAAAACACTTGGAGGGCCCAAGTTTGCCTGTGCCTTATCTATATCTACGTATCAGATCTCCATCCATCCACAAGATTTCTGTATTGTCTAATCTACCTATCAGATTTGCATTTTGCCTTTTATTTACCTATCTTATTTATCTATCTAGCTGATTTCTGTATTACCTCTCAACCTACACTGACTCCTGAGATACTAGACATCTATCTATCGCTCCATCCATCCATCTGATTTCTGTATCGCCTCTCATCTAATTATCTGATCTTTCTATCAGACTTTTGTACTGTGATCTATCTATTGATCTATCAGATTATTGTCTATCAGCTATGTATCTAATCTATCTGATTTTTCTATCAGATTTCTGTATTGCCACCCATCAATCCACCCACCTGATTCCTGTATTTCCTCTCAGCCCACAATGACTCCTAAGATAGTGGACAATATCTGTCTTTCTGTCCGTCCGTCCATCCATCCATCCATCCATCCATCCATCCATCCATCCATCCATCTATCCCTCCATCCATCTATCCATCCATCTGATTTCTATATTGCCTCTCATCTATTTAACTGAGTTATCTGATCTTTCTATCAGATTTTTGAATTGGGTTGTTGTAGGTTTTTCAGGCTATATGGCCATGTTCTAGAAGCATTTTCTCCTGATGTTTTGCCTGCATCTGTGGCAAGCATCCTCAGAGGTTGTGAGGTCTGAGGATGCCTGCCACAGATGCAGGCAAAACATCAGGAGAAAATGCTTCTAGAACATGGCCATATAGCCTACAACATGGCCTACCACAACCCAGCGATTCCAGCCATGAAAGCCTTCAACAATACAGATTTTTGAACTGCTACCTACCTACCTACCTACCTATCTGATTATTGTCTAACTGACATATATCTCATCTTTCTATCAGATTTTTGCATTGTCATCCACCCACCCATCCCATTCACCTGATTTCTGAATTGCCTCTCAATCTACAATGACTATCTATCTGTCCATCTATCCATCCATCCACCCATCCATCTCAATCGCACATCCGTGGCTGATTTTGGGTTCTCCAAAGGTAGTGAAATAAATATTAAAGGTACACAAATTAAGCAAGAACCCAGCGCTTTTTCGGCATTCCTTCTTCCACAGAGTGCTGGAAAAGGGGATATACTTTGGGGAAAGAAATGCTTCAAAAGGAAGTAAATGGATGAAGACGGGTGGAGGTCATCCCGAAAGCATCACATATATGCCTGTCCTTGCACCGACGCCCAGCTACCAAACCCCTATCCAACTAACCACACAGCGGTCCCCAAGATCAGCCATGTTGTCCCATTGCACGACCCAGTTTTGCTGCCCTAAGTCACAAACCTGTGGCAATGAATCCGTGCTCTGGCCACGAAGTCTGACCACAGTCTCCGACGAGCTGGAAGTGGACGAACTGACCTCTTTGACCACCAAGCCTGAATGAGGGGGACAAGCATAAAAGGGAACACAACAAGTCAAAGAAGTGAGATTCAAAATCAGTTCAGGTTGCAGCTTTCCAGGCAATTGCTTCCTTTGACTGTCGAGAGGTCCCTTCTAATCATAGAATCATAGAATCAAAGAGTTGGAAGAGACCTCATGGGCCATCCAGTCCAACCCCCAAGAAGCAGGAATATTGCATTCAAATCACCCCTGACAGATGGCCATCCAGCCTCTGTTTAAAAGCTTCCAAAGAAGGAGCCTCCACCACACTCCGGGCAGAGAGTTCCACTGCTGAACGGCTCTCACAGTCAGGAAGTTCTTCCTCATGTTCAGATGGAATCTCCTCTCTTGTAGTTTGAAGCCATTGTTTCGAGTCCTAGTCTCCATGGAAGCAGAAAACAAGCTTGCTCCCTCCTCCCTGTGGCTTCCTCTCACATATTTATACATGGCTATCATATCTCCTCTCAGCCTTCTCTTCTTCAGGCTAAACATGCCCAGCTCTTTAAGCCGCTCCTCATAGGGCTTGTTCTCCAGACCCTTGATCATTTTACTCGCCCTCCTCTGGACACATTCCAGCTTGTCAATATCTCTTTGAATTGTGGTGCCCAGAATTGGACACAATATTCCAGGTGTGGTCTAACCAAAGCGGAATAGAGCATGGGGAGCATGACTTCCCTAGATCTAGACACTAGGCTCCTCTTGATGCAGGCCAAAATCCCATTGGCTTTTTTTGCCGCCACATCACATTGTTGGCTCATGTTTAACTTGTTGTCCACGAGGACTCCAAGATCCTTTTCACACGCACTGCTCTCGAGCCAGGCGTCCCCCATTTTGTATCTTTGCATTTCGTTTTTCCTGCCAAAGTGGAGTATCTTGCATTACAATAGATCTGGTGCTATTCTCTGACCTGTTCTCTCTGGGACAGGCCTTGGGTTACTGAAAGATGGCAAGATATTTAGTTCAACAACTTTACCTGAGTGACCGTTGAACTTCCTAGCCATCAACATGTCCTCGGTGATGTAAATGCACACGTCCGGACTCACATCGTCCAGGGAGGTTTCGCTCGTCGGCTCAAGGTCTCTGGGGTCGTCAACCAACATCTCAATCTCTGAATCAAAGACATTTCACAGTTGAAGAAATACAGTATCATAGCAGTGTTTCTCAACCTTCCTGATGCTGCGACCCTTTAATACAGTTCCTCATGTTGTGGTGACCCCCAACCATAAAATTATTTTCGTTGCTACTTCATAACTGTAATTTTGCTCCTGTTATGAATCGTAATGTAAATATCTTATATAGGATGTATTTTCATTCACTGGACCAAATTTGGCACAAATATCTGATACATCAACATTTGAATGCTGGTTGGGTTGGGGGAGGGTTGATTTTGTCATTTAGGTGATGTAGTTGCTGGGATTTATAGTTCACCTACAATCAAAGAGAATTCTGAACTCCACTAACGATGGAATTGAGCCAAACTTGGCACACAGAACTCACGCATCCAACAGAAAATACTGGAAGGTTTTGGTGGACATTGACCTTGAGTTTTGGAATTGTAGTTCACCTACATCTAGAGAGCACTGTGGACTCAAACAATGATGGATCTGGACCAAACTTGGCATGGATCCTCAATATGCCCAAATGTGAACACTGGTGGAGTTTGGGGAAAATAGACCTTGACATTTGGGAGTTGTAGTTGCTGGGATTTATAGTTCACCTACATCAAAGAGCATTCTGAACCCCACCAACAATAGAATTTGGACCAAACTTCCCACACAGAACCCCCATGACCAACAGAAAATACTATGTTTTCTGATGGTCTTTCGACCCCTCTGACACCCCCTTGCGACCCCCTCAGGGGTCCCGATCCCCAGGTTGAGAAACACTGATCTATAGCATGACACATTTATTTCTAGACTTTGCAATAATAAGAGAAACCAGAGATAACTCTGAAATCTATTGCCAACAGAACCTCTGAAGATGCCACTAGCCACAGATGCAGGCAAAATGTCAGGAGAAAATGCTGCTGGAATATGGCCATACAGCCCAAAAAATTCACAGCAACCCTGGACATATTTCCTTGGATGCTGGTAATAAGTCCCGTGGGTATGCGGGTCTTTCCTAATAGGATGAGGCAGTGAAGCCCGGCTTGGTCCACGCTTACCGTCCTCCTGCGAGGAGTCCTCTTCCAGCCGCTCCTTCTCCCCGCTTTCCACGCCGGAGGTGTGTGAGCTTCCATGGCTGGTCATGGAGCTGCAAGCCCTCAGCTTGCGGTGGACGGCGGCCACCAAAAAGTCGTCCTCGGCCCCCCTGTCGCGCGGCTTGGGGTCGGCCTCGATGCCGGAGGTGTGCGAGCTGCTGTGGCTGGTGGTGGAGCGGCGGGAGAGGCGCTTGTGCTGGGCGCTGCCCGAGCTGCTCCCACTGGCCCTGGAGCGCTTCTCCAGCTGGTCCATGTCCAGGTCCAGAGCATCGCTGATGTAGGACTCCCGGTACTGCTTCTTCTCTAGAAGGGAAAGCCAAGGCATGGAAGAAACTGAACCATCAGAAGGCGAAGTGAGATTGTGTCAGTCACCCATGCGGATAATTTCAGTATTTTGGATTTTTTGAATTCTGGATAAAGGATGCTCATATTTAGGAGTAGCTTAGGCAGTATTACTGGCACTGAATGGGATCAGTGGGGGAAAGTGGATTGATTCAAACCAATCTAAGAGAAGGGTTGCTGAATGAGAGAAGAGGTAGAAAGACGAAAGTCAAAGGGAAGCAGCATCAAGGGAAAGGAGGGCCACAGTTACCTTCGTTCTCCTCCAATTTCCGGATGTGGCGTAAGACCGGCTGCAGGTTCATGTAGAGGCGGTGGCTGCTGCTCAGGAGCTGCAGGAGGTGGCGGGAGCGTGTGGGGCAACCCGTGTAGTAGGTGAGCTTGCGGGCGGAGGGGAGGCCATCCGGAAGGATCTCAAACCGCTTGCCCTGAAAAGAGAAGGACAGCGTGAGGAAACCGGAGAGCATTCTTTGTCACCCCCCCCCCACCCATGCCCTGCCTCCACCTCGTTTCTCCATACTCCGCCAAGAGAATCTTCCTTATAGTGGAAGACTCTATACACACTTGAAGTTGGAAGAGATTCCAAGGGAAGTCATAAAGTAAGTGCCTTTCACTGACAGTTAGAAAATCCTGTATTGCATGCAACACCAAAGTGCTACAAATACAGTTCTAATGGACACGTGGTCACAGAATGCTCCAGTGAAAGGGTCAAGAGAGTAGAGAGGTGGACCTAGAGCAGTGGTTCTCAATCTGTGGGTCCCCAGATATTTGGGCCGTCAGCTCCCAGAAATCCATAACAGCTGGTAAACTGACTGGGACTTCTGGGAATTGTAGGCCAAAATACCTAGGAACCCACAGGTTGAGAACCATTGACCTAGAGGGACAGCTGAGTCATGACCATGTGAAAGTCATGACAAGAACTACATCATTTTCTGTGGCCACTTTGGTTATATAAGAAAGTGACAGACATGTGCGCATCTTGCTATGGTTGTCTATCTGTGTATATACTGATAGCAGACCTGTAGATAGCTGTATATAGAGCAACGACTGAAAAGTGAAAAGTTCTGGTGGAGTTTGGATGAAAGCCAGAGCTCAAGTGTGCTTATTAAAGTTGTGAACTATAAAACAAGATCAGAGGCTAAACTATAAATCTCTGCTACCTGTGATAAGGACTCTGCAGTGTTTTGGATCGAATCCTAGCCACTTCCCTTGAGACACATTAAGTCCCAAGCTCAGCTGGAGGAGGAGGAAGTGTGAGGACTTATTCAGGTACCTACATGAGCCAAGTATTTTGTGTGTTTACCTGAACCACATGCCAACAATCCAGTCCAACCCCACTGAAAACATATTTAAAGCACCCCTGACAGATGGCCACCCAGTCTCCTACTTATGCACCTTAAAACAGACTCCCCTCTTAACCTTCTCTTCTACAATCAAATGATGTTAGGCTACAGGTAGGTAGAACAGGACCGAACAGCAGAAGGAGTTTCTAAATAGTGAGACCAGTTCAGCAATGGATCTGGTCTCCAAGAGAAGTGGTGGGGTCTCCTTCTCTGGACATCTCCAAAAAGAGCCTGGATATCTTCTCACTGAGGATGTTTTAGTTGGGGATCCTCCAGACAACAGCCGGTTGGACCCAAGGGTCCATGGGGCCTCTTCCAACTATGGATCTTTAGACCAATCTGGAAAAGCTCAAAGGGAATGTTGTTTCTTATGAGATTATATGTGTAACTTGACTTTCTTGAACCTTGAGCAGAATGAGGACATTCTGCACCATTCAGAAATATTCAACTGTTGCCATTTTTCTTATTCTTGGTTAAGATGACAATAGGTTTTCTGGCCAGATTGCAAGGAAGGGATTCTGCAGAAGGGCTAGTTTCAAGAGTTTCCTACTCACCACAAACACAAGTTTCCCAACATTCGTCCAAGGGAAGTCATAAAGCAAGTGCCTTTCACTGTTTGCATTCTGCAATGGAAGGAAGAGAAAGAAGAAATACATGGCTGATTTTTTTCAAAGTAAAATGACCACAATACAGCTTTCGTAATTGCTTGACTGGGACTCTGATTTATCTTACCAACAAAATAAGCATTTTTTAAGCCCTCCAAGCAAATCTATCATATTCTATGTATTGTCGAAGGCTTTCATGGCCAGAATCACTGGGTTGTTGTAGGTTTTTTCGGGCTATATGGCCATGTTCTAGAGGCATTCTCTCCTGACGTTTTGCCTGCATCTATGGCAAGCATCCTCAGAGGTGAGGATGCTTGCCATAGATGCAGGCGAAACGTCAGGAGAGAATGCCTCTTGAACATGGCCATACAGCCCAAAAAAACCTACAACTCACTATCATATTCTTTTGCTGGAAGTTATCATAGAATTGCCTTGGAACACCTAGCAAATTCCTAAAGATCCTTGAGGAATTTTCTAGGTCCACCAAAACAACTTTATAGTAGGGTTGTTCTAGGTTTTTCGGGCTACATGGCCATGTTCCAGAGGCATTTCTCCCGAGGTTTCGCCTGCATCTATGGCAAGCATCCTCAGAGGTAGTGAGGTCTGTTGGAACTAGGAAAAAGGGTTTATATATCTGTGGAATCACCAGGGTGAGACAAAGGACTCTTGTCTGCTGGAGCTAGGTGTGAATGTTTCAACTGACCACCTTGATTAGCATTTGATTGCCTGGCAGTGCCTGGAGCAATCTTTTGTTGAGAGGTGATTAGATATCCTTGTTTGTTTCCTCTCTGTTGTTGTGCTGTTCTCATTTTAGAACTTTATAGTAACTTTCAGTGGAAGTTCAATAGCGTGTTCTATTATCCACAGTTTCCTGTTTCCTTGGTAAGTTTCCATGGTTATTTAAGGAAAATATCCTCCAATGGAAATGAAGGGTCAAACCATTTTGAAATATAGATAGATAGATAGATAGATAGATAGATAGATAGATAGATAGATAGCAGGTGCATCTATTAGGGCTTTGTTAGTCCATACAACTCTACTGACCACAATAATGGTAGTTTTTCATCCAGATTCATAGAAATATATGTGCAAATCTGAAACAGAAGTAAAGAGGCCACTGCTTGCTCTATTGTTTGGAGTGAGAAAAGATATGGAAGCCTAATCGATGGATTGATTGGATGGGATTTTATGTCACACTTTTATGGGACTCTAGGCAGCTTCCAAAGCACTTAAAGAATTCATAATCAAATCTGAAAAAACAATTAAAAGTAAATAAAACAGTACAAAAAACAACACTGGAAAAGAACACAGTGAATCCCATAATGTGTGTCTCGAATGTGTGCTTGAAACTGATTAACTTTGTATTTAATAAACTGGTGTGTGTGTGCTTTTTAAAAACACACACACACACACACACTTTTGTGCAGTTTTTCTTTTGTGTCAGGAGTGACTTGAGAAACTGCAAGTTGCTTCTGGTGTGAGAGAATCAGCCGTTTTCAAGGATGTTGCCCAGGGGACGCTGCCAGGATGTTTTGATGTTTTACTATCCTTGTGGGAGGCTTCTCTCTTTTCCCGGCACGGGGAGCTAGAGCTGACAGAGAGAGCTCAACCTCCTCTCCCCGGATTTGAACCGCTGACCTGCTGGTCAGCAATCCTGCCGGCACAAGAGTTTAACCCATTGTGCCACCGGAGGCTCCTACTTTTGTGCAGAAAGATTTTAGCAGTACTTTATTTTAAGCTATCCTGGATGAAAGATGGAATATTAAACAGAATATATATATACACACACACACACACAAACACACACACACACACAGATCGATCGATAGGTCGATACAGTTCACCATGTATATAAAATATGAGGATAAGTACCTGAAAGATCTGGATCCCCCGTGTGGTCAACCCAAGTGTTAAGGAGGCCTCAATTTCCTTCTTGTCCTACAGATGAAAAAAGATTAATTTACAATGTTTGCACTGCTTCTCAAATTCCAGCCTGGTCCTCTTCACACCAAAATGGGAACCACTATTGTGGATTTTGTTGTTTCGACTTTAAGAGGTTAGGGTGAGCACCCGCTGTCAGCCTCAACTCCCTGCCCAACTAGCAGATCGAAAACAGAAATGTGAGTAGATAAATAGGTACCGCTTTTAGCGGGGAGGTAATAAAAGGCACCCATAAGGACATGTGGTGATTCAATTGGGAGGACATCTAAGGAGGACGATAAAGCTCCTTGGCATGGAAGATAGAGCAACAGCACCACCCTGTGGCCAAAGTCGAGCACTGCCTCCAGATGCCGGAAATGGGAAAGATGGAACAGCCTTTATCTTTGTTTATGTAATGTCTGTCCTTGTTAATTATATAACGGCATTGAATGTTTGCTGCATATTTCTGTAATGCACCCCAAGTCCCCTCGGAGAGATAGAGCAGAATATACATAAAGTATATTATTATTATTATTATTGTTATTATTGTTATTATTTCTGGGGCTGAGAGCGTGTGACTCACCTAAGGTCACCCAGTGGGTTTCCATGGTCAAGCAGTGATAAATGCTCCACCCTCTTGTGCATTTATATCAATGTATCAATACTAATATATAAGGCAACTTGTAGTTTATTGTTTTATATTGTTTCAGGAATGAGAAAAGGTGTGTGAGCCTTCAAGTTGCCTGTGAACCTATAGCAATCCTATGGATTTCATAGTGTCGTCTTACACAACACGCAGCAGTGGTTTTGACAGTTCCTACCTCTGAAATCGGGCCTATAGTACCTGGCGTTTGTTGGGCGTCTCCCTTCCAAGTACTAATCAGAGCTGACCCTGCTTAGTTCCCAAGATCAGATAGGGTCTAGTACAATCATGGGCAAACTTCAGCCCTCCAAGGTGTTCTGGACTTCAACTTCCACAACTCCTAACAGCCTCAAGCCCTTTCCTTTTCCCCTTCAGCCATGGCAATATACACCCACCTTGTACAATCTGTAGTAATGCACGGCCACGTCGTCTAGCCGCACGGCCTCCTTGATGTACTTCAGGTGAGCTTCGGAGGCGGTCAGAGCGCACTGGTCCTTGTGCATGATGGGGATGTGCTTCAGGATGTAGTCCTTCCCTCTCTTGGCCACCACCTGGACAGAGACACAGGAGACACACTTAAAGTCAGGGGAAATCCCAGGAAAATAAACACCATGATTCATGGTGTCACAGGTTCTGGAAGGGACTCCAAGGGCCATCCAGTCCAACCCTCTTGTGAATTGCAAGATGAAGATTTCCACTTTCCACTGGCATGGAAATCATCTATCAGATAGATGGCAAGCTACGTAACCTCCGCAGACCAAAATCAAGGTCAAAACAATGTTTTTTACAGAACTCCAATATGCTGATGATAATGTAATATGTGCTCATTCAGAAGAAGACCTACAAGCCACTCTAAACACCTTTGCAGAAGCATACGAGAAGCTTGGCCTCTCACTGACCATCAAGAAAAACAAAGTGCTCTTCCAATCCTTCTGCAAGGCCAGAAATACAGCTTAATGGTGTAACATTAGTAAATCTGGATCCTTTCCACTACCTTGGCAGCCACCTCTCCACAAAAGTCAACATTGACACTGAAATACAACACCACCTGAGCTGTGCAAGTGCAGCATTTTTCCAAATGAAGCAGAAAGTGTCTGTGGACCAGGACATCTGTAGGGAGACCAAGGGGCTTGTTTATAAAGCCATTGTTCTCCCAATGGTTATACGCCTGCGAGACGTGGACTGTCTACAGACGTCACACTCAACTTCTGGAACAATTCCATCAGTGCTGCCTCTGGAAAATCCTGCAAATCTCTTGAGAAGAAAGTAGGTGGACAAATGTCACTGTTCTGGAAGAAGGAAAGACCACCAGCAACCTAGCCATGATCCTCCGCCAGCAACTCCACTGGACGGAAGACCATGTTGTCCAAATGCCTGATCACCGACTTCCAAAGTAGTTACTCTACTCCCAAATCAAGAAGGGAAAATGGAAAGTTGGTGGTCAGGAGAAGAGATTTAAAGCTGGACTTAAAGCCAAACTTTAAAAATGTGACATAGACACCGAGAGAGATTGGGAATCCCTGGCCCTCGAGCGTGTTGCACCTCAGAGTAGATGATGCAACCCAGAGCAGGAAACTGGACCCTTAGACAACAATCCACCACACTTGACTTCAGGAAAACAATCCTTTTTTATTGATGAAAGATGAATACAAAATAGAAGAAATATGCAAAGGTAAAAAGTCACAGTAAAAATCAGGAACAAGAAATGTCCACAAACAAGATAATGAAATCCACAGCAAAACTGCTGAATCCTGAAACCTGTTAGCAATCCACTAACCGTACTTGGAACAACTAGAAAACCTCCGAGGAACAAGGCCACTTGAATCAGGAGACCTGCAAAAGCTTGCACATGAATCTGGAACGATGCCTGGTCTGAAGCTGCATTCAGGCCAGGCATACTTAAGGCCGAGAAATCTATTGAGACACGCCTGAAGTTTTTGTTTGCATTTCTCTCAATCTAGCTGACCTACGTAAACTTTGTGCTTCTCCCCGGCTCTGCCAAATCTGCCCCCGCCTATCCTCATTAGGCAGACCAGGTGTCAGATTCTCTGGAGAACTAAGGCTGGGAGGAAAAGGGAGTGAAACTTCTCCGCTCGGCTCGGAATGCTTGTTCTCATGGGAATTTTGACTTTCACTTTCCAAGGCTGTAGGATTTTCACTACTCAAACCATCATAATCTAATTTGGCCTCAGAATTCACATTGACATCAGAAAATACAATCAGAGAATCAGGTTCAGGTTCACACACAGGCTGAACCCTAACACTAGATTCACCTTGCTGAAATCACCAGAACTGCACACAGACTGAAGTCTTTGTAGTTTATTAAAAAGTAAAAGATGAAAAGTTTAAAAAGCAAGTAGTGTTCCAAAGATCAATAAAACACAGCACTGTAAAGCAGAATTCCAAATGGCACCAACAAAATAAAGTCCCATGAGAACATGACAAAATCCCAAGACCATGGACACAGGAAAACGAGCACAAGCTGCCTGGTTGAGCGAGAAGTTGCTCTGACAAAGGTTTGTTTTCAAACACACTGCTTAATACTCTTTGCAATACATGAAATCATTTCTTTGGCCTCTGACCTCCTTCTTGTTGGCTATTCTCACACTCCTTCAAACTCTGAATTCCAAACGGTCAGCCCGATCTAAGATTCCCGTTTCCTCAAGGTCAGGCTGCTTGTTAGTGTCAGCCTGGTTGCCTTCCTGCCTACTGATCTGGCCACAGTGGTCCACGCTCTTGTTACATCCCGAATAGATTATTGCAACGCACTCTACGTGGGGTTGCCTTTGAAGACTGTTCGGAAACTTCAATTAGTCCAGTGGGCGGCAGCCAGATGGATAGTTTCAGTATCAAAAACCTCATTCCCTGTTGTGGGAAACTGAACTTGCACACCCTGTTCCTCATTATTTACAACAGGAACATTTTGAACCTGATTGTGAACCTGAATCCCATCATCCTCGCCAGAGTCACTCTGAGACCCCATCTGAGTCACAACACTATCAGTCTGTGGTTCCAGCTGAGTCACAACAAAGTGTATAACGGGAGGTCGGTTGTGACCAAGACTGATGTGGAATTCGATGAAGCACGAATGGAGGGCAAAAGGGAGAAATGTGTCAAGAGGAAGGAGGCGCATCAAGCCAACTCCTATCGGGACCACCTACCATCTGGAAATTGATGTCCTCACTGTGGAAGAACATGTAAATCCAGAAGCGGTCTCTACAGTCACCTACAGACCACTGCCAAGACTCTACACCTGAAAGGCGATCAGACTCAAGGGCCATGAGGGATCACCGATAATGATGCAGGAGGAAACAATCAAAGCATTCTTGACAGATAGCCATCCAGATTCTGTTTCAAAACCTCTAGAGATGGAGACTACACCAACATTCCAACTTGAATGTTTCCATCTTGGAAGTTCGAAACATCATAGAATTGAAGACTTGGAGAAGGCTGCAAGGCACAGTCTAACTCCTTTTTCCCAGCAGGAGGATACAATCCAAGCACTCCTGAGAGATGGCCATTCAGCCTCTGTTTCAAACCGTCAGAGAATGGGACTCTAATGCTATCCATTCCTCGTGAAGGCATATCTGGCCACCCTGGTCCATGCCTTAGTCACCTCCAGATTGGACTACTGTAATGCACTCTATGGGGGCTACCCTTGAAAATGGCCCGGAAATTTCAACTGGTTCAACGAGCAGTGGCCAGATTGTTAACTGGTGCTCCTTACAGGGAGCGGTCAACCCTCCTGTTTAAGGAGTTCCATTGGCTGCTGTTCATTTTCCGGTCCCAATTCAAGGTGCAGGTGCTTACCTACAAAGCCCTAAATGGTTTGGGACCCACCTACCTGCGTGACCGCATCTCTGTGTACGAACCCATGTGATCTCTTCGATCATCTGGAGAGGCCCTGCTCGCGCTCCTCCCTCCATCGCAAGCGCGATTGGCGGGGACGAGGAACAGGGCCTTCTCGATGGTGGCCCCTCGACTCTTGAACTCACTCTCCAGGGACATCAGATATGCTCCAATGTTGGCAGCCTTTAGGAGGAGCCTGAAAATGTGGTTGTTCCAGTGTGCCTTCCCAGATTAAGGAAACTCCCAGTAATATGTCCCTTAATGCACTTTAGTAGTGATTTAGGATTGGGTTGTTGTAGATTTTTTCAGGCTATATGGCCACGGTCTAGAGGCATTCTCTCCTGACGTTTCGCCTGCATCTATGGCAAGCATCCTCAGAGGTAGTGAGGTTTAGGATTGTCTGCATGCCCTATCCCTCTCCAAAATTTCTATCCTGTTGATATGTCACCTGGTCATGCCCAGCATTATTATTTTTTAATTATAATTAGTACATCTGGCCCTGCCATAGGTTTTTAAACGTTGTTGTGTTTAATGTTTATTGCTATTTTCTGTTTATGAGTTTATTTATTGTTGTATTACTGTTGCTATGTCTTATTGTTGTATTGTGGGCTCGGCCTCATGTAAGCCACACTGAGTCCCT